CCTAGCACGATCAGAAGGGATCTGAAAACACTTCTAAAACCCTGGGCGTGTTGCCATAGCTCTGTTCATGGGCTAGAAAGGAGTTTGGGTGGGCACTGCATGGCCCAAGTAGTGAATGGTATTTTTTGATGCGATGCAGTGTCGATGAAAGGAGGAAGGCTGTGCTGAACATTTTAAAACCCCCAAGGAAAACAGAAATCTGTGAGGCTTAGTGTGGTTTTGTTTTGTCATTTAATTCAACCTTGCATGGCACTGTAAATAACAATTTTATTAAAAGGCTTATATCAAAACATGGCATTGTGAACTGAGAAGAAAATGGTGTCTTTAGAACATAAGCAGCTTTCAAAAGCCCTTGCCTAACTTTCTGTTTTTACATGAGAGCAATGCTCACCCCAGTAGAAACTATAGGATATGCAGTTGGTCCCTTTGAATGTTGTACTGTGCAGCTGTACAGCTCTGATTGCACCACCTGGCAAGTTCCCAACCAGCATTAGCTCCCTCTTAGTTGTTTTACTATTTCTGTAACATCATGGGGTGGGGTTTTTGTTTGGATTAGGAGAAACAATCACTTCTTTCCCATTGCTGCCTTGCACACTATCAGAGAAGTTAAAGAATCAAAACCACTTCTCTTCTTATGCAGTGTTTTCAGCCAAGACTTGTGAGAATGAGAATACAGACAGGAGTGGCAGGATGGGTGTGTTGTCAGAGGGACAGTGCCAATAATTATAGTCTCTCTGAATGTCTTGGTCGTTTTGATTAGGTGATGTTGCCTTTTTTGTTGGTCTGAACAGTTCTGTAACAGTGAAGACCAGTCAAAAAAAGCCCAAGTCCACCCCAAAGATAAACTGGGTGAAATGTTTTCTACCTGATGTGATGCTGAGATTTCATTGATTTCTCTTTCTTAACCTTAAAAGAATGCATTAAAATCTTTATGGCATATTAGGATGATACTGCTCATCAAAGAGGTCTTTTTATGCTTTGCTTGTAGAGGTCCTACAGTAAAGAGCTCTTTGAGGAGGTGATCTCCAAGATGAGGAAGGCTGGAATCAAGTCAACCATAGCAATAGAGAAATTCAAACTTCTGGCAGAGAAAGTGGAGGAGATTGTTGCCAAGAATGCCCGTGCAGAAATTGATTACAGCGATGCTCCGGATGAATTCAGAGGCAAGTTGGGATTCTTAAATACTGGCTTGTTAGGAGAACAGGGATTTGGTTTGTTACTTTGATGTATCTTAATAGAAACTTAGTTTTGTTTAAGAAGCCTTGCATCCTGCTCTGTTTCAATTTAATAAGTAAATAGAGAGAGCTAAGAGTGTCTTTTTGCTTTCCCTGGGATTGGACTAGATGATCTTTTGAGGTCCCTTCCAATCTCTAACATACTGTGATACTGTGACTGTCCAATTCTATCCATGTTTTGCTTACATGTACTTTAGCACAGTTAAAATAATAATTTGAAAATCGAGTTAAAATAGCTAATGCTTTGCCCCAGATCAGGAAGGGAAAATAATATGGAATAAAGAGAATAAAGGCTCAAATCCACTGCTTGTACTAACCCTTTTCTGTATCTCCAGCAACGCACTTGACTGGGGACCCTGAATAATCAGTTCTGCACTGTGGTTTTGTGTGCAGATAAAATTTGTAGCTATTGTCTCCAATTTAATGAGATCCTTTGTGCCCCCAGATCCACTTATGGACACCCTGATGACTGATCCTGTGAGGCTGCCCTCTGGCACTATTATGGACAGGTCAATCATCCTGAGGCATCTGCTGAACTCTTCCACTGACCCTTTCAATCGTCAGACACTGACAGAAAATATGCTGGAACCAGGTATCAGTTTAACATTCACCAGTGGAACTGCTATAGACTGGGGGAAGCAATTTCCATGCAGTGTGTTCTCGTAGAATCATCGAATAATGGTTTGGGTTTGAAGGGGCCTTAAAGTTCCAACCCCTTGCCATGGGCAGGGACACCTTCTACTAGAGCAGGTCGCTCCAAGCTCCATCAACCTGACCTTGAATACTGCATGGGGCAGCCACAGCTTCTCTGGATAACCTGTGCCAGCACCTCAGCACCCTCACAGGGAAGAACTTCCTAAGATCGCATCCCAGTCTCTTCTCTTTCAGTTTAAATCCATTCCCCTTTGTCCTGTCCCTACATGCTTTTGTAAAAGGTCCCTCTCCAGACTTCTTGGAAGCCTCCTTTAGGTACTGGAAGACTGTTACAAGGTCTCCCCTGAGCCTTCTCAAGGCCTGTCATCACAGGAGAGGTGCTCTAGCCCTGTTCTGTATACTGTCAGAAGACAGCATTGAAACCTCAGTGGAGGTAATGGTTCCTTCACCTCAATGCGCACAGAAAGGTTAGTTCCTTCTGCTTTTCCTTTTTCTGGGAAAGAAATCCCATGTCCTTGACTTCATAACTACCAGGCCAAAGGATATTATTGTGGTAGGGAAATGAGTCATTTACTCAAAGCTGTGCAGAAAATACATTGATAGAGAAGACATTCCTGATTAGGTTTCTGGAAAAGAAATCAGTCATGAGGAGCTTCCTTACAGTAGAATACATATAATTTAACTGCAGATTAATAATTCTTCTTTTTTCTCCTTTACATTACTAGTGCCAGAACTTAAAGAGCAAATCCAAGCCTGGATGAGAGACAAGCAGAACGCTGACCATTAAGAATTCCCTTGCAGTGCACGCCGACACCAGTGGGAAGAGCAGGGCGTGGGCTGTTCGGGTGGTAGTGGAGCAGATACCCTTTGCAAGCTGTTGATGGGATTAGCACACCCACTGGCACTGGCTTCCAGTGGTGACCAGAAGCATGTGGACAAGGAGGAAAGCAGCTTAATTCTTGTACATATATTTAAGTGATAAGGATGGTCAATAACATGGAGGACAAGCTAGGAAGTTGCTTATGTTACAAAACTGTCCTTCAGTATGTCACGTTTTGGAGTTTTTACAGCTGAATTATTTTAGCAGAGATGAATGGATCAGGGCAGCATCCCTTCAACCTTATTTTTTACAGCCAGATATCCGTTAATTTGATTGTGGTTAGAACCTTGGACATTTTGCTGCTAAAGTAACTTTTTCCTCTTTCCCTCCTTTTTTTTTTTCCTCTTCCGTCAAACCTGCACTGCTGTCCTATTTTTCTTTTTGTAATGCAAAAACAAAAATCCCTGTGAAAATCAAAATCATTCCCCTGCCCTCAAAAGAACATATTCCATGGGATAACTGTGCCTGCAACAAAGTGTTAATCTTGGGATCGTATTTTTCTATTATGCATATTTGCATTTCTGGTTTTTAATTGGTGTTAGACACAAGGATAACTTCAAAAAAGGAACGATTTCACACATGGATTTTCATTTCCGTTCTTTGAACTGTCCCTTCTCTTTCTGTTGATGTAGATGCTCTGGTATTTTTGAAAAGCCTTGAGATAGAAACATGTTGAAACAGCTGCTGTGGATGCGATGCTCGGGAATACCAGGATTTCAGTGACTTTTAAAGAAACAAACTCCATTCTTTCAATGCTGCAGATCTGATATATGCTAAATGACAGTTCTGAGCCATTAGAGCTTGTCTGCAGAGAGCAGATCCTTTTAGTCTCGGAGGTTGCAGTTTGGGGCAGGGGGTCATTTTTTATGTTGCGTACCAATTTATATCCATGGCTTGGCCTTACCAAAGCAGAAAGGGTGCAGGAAATGTAGACTTACATTTTTAAATAAAAAAATAATAAAAAAAAAAAGGATTCACAGACATTTTTGTATTTACTGCCCCCTGCATCTGATACTTGAATTTCCTTTTTAAAAAGGATTTGAAACCACGGTGTTTTAAAATTAAGTCTGAAAAAAAAAAAAAGGTTGTTTTTCTTCTGGTTTTTTTTTTTTTTCGCTGTGTCTTCTGTTAATTCCTGACTCTCTTGAACTACAATAAATGATACACACTCACACAAAGGGGTGCCTTTGCCTTTTCTTTAAGTGTGCCAGTGAAAGAGTAACACTAATGATTGGGTTAGTTTGCTCAGGTTTGCTGATGGGGATTTAGGATCTGGAGAGAACTTAAGTGAATTATGTGGGACATTTCTGTGCACACAGATATCAGTAGTACTTCAAACTAATGAATGTTCCCAAGTGGGTGACTCTTATACCTATTCATAGCTACATGACAGTTGGTGACAGGCTCCAGGGGGAGTTTTGGTCAGGTTATATATAATCCAGTGCTGACCTTTAAGATGTGCAAGTGATTCTGAATTAAAACATGTAGTGGGGTTTGGATTTGTTTTTCTGGTGCGGGGTTTCTTCTGTTCTTTCCCCATAGTGTGTGTGTGGTTAGTTTTCCCCAGGGGTGGGAGGAGGACTCCAAAGTTGGTGTCTGCATGGACTGCTGGAACAGAGAAGCTTGTGGACTGGTTTTATAGTTCTGTAAAACTGCTTTCTTCCACAAATCCAAATTCCTCCCCTCTTCAAAAGTCACACAACAAAGTCTGCTATGCTTTTATGTGCAAGCTCTCGTTCAGCATCCAAATCCATCCTGGTTTCTGAATGTCTTGTAAGGGTGTGCAGTGAGCGATGAATTTCATAGAATAGTTGGGGTTGAAAAGGACCTTATGTTGTCTCATTCCAACCCCCTGCCATGGACAGGGACAAAATGAGTTTTCTTTTTCAGTAAAGATGTAATTATTTTTTTACATTACAGAAGCCCTTTTAAATGTTCCACTGTCACCTCATCATTAAGGATTATAGCATGAAATCTCTAGAAACAGCCCAAAGTTTATATATTATTTGATGGAGGACAACTCAACAATACAAATTTGCTTTTACTGGAGTATGCTTCACATCATGACTTTTTTTTGTAAGTTAATAGCTTTTATCGACAGCTTTCCAGTATACTGCAAAGGTGGAAGAAAGATGTTCTTCTCATTTTCTTCAGCTATAATAACCCAGACACACCACCACCTTTTGTGAATAAGGAATAGGTTATGCATTTAAATACTTTACCAAAAAAAATCAGTATGCAATTAGCTGTTTTTAATGCAAGTATAAAATGAGAATCCTGTATTTTTTGTATTCATTTATTCCATTGTACCACCTGAAAGGCTTCTTTGAACAAATTCAGGGCGTTTCTCTTAACCTTGCCTCACAGGAGGAAATAGAAATATTTACATTTGGTATGAGATGTATTAAGACAATGGTTTTCAGAATCTGTATTTATTCTTCCATCATATCTGACTTTAACCTGAGGCATATAAATAGCAACATGCATTACTGAACTATTTTGTCTAATTATGGCATACATTTATCAGTTGAAAGTGTATCAATGCAGAGATTACAGAAGACAGGAAGGCTAACATGAAGTGGCTAAAACAATTTTATCTGGAGAACTAGTATCAGGTATTTCAAACATGTGAATTGAGACAAACACTCCCCCAAATTCAGCATTCTTAGACAGAATAATGAAATGTATTTTTAATACAAGCAACCAGAACTACCACTAGGTTGCTGGCTTCTGGGCACGAAAGTGACTCAAAGGCCTGTCCTTTAGTGGGAAGTGGGCACCTGAGTGAAGTCAGCAGTAGATTAAATTTCCCACAAATGTGTGGAAGTGTGTGACAGTTCTCAGTTTAACTCATTTACTACTACCTGCAGGTTTCTGTGATTTCCCTCCCCCTACTGACACATCACTGACCTTTTTCAATCTGACTGTAATCTTATTACAATACAGAGACTTTATATTAGAGATCACAGAAACTACCAGTTGATCAAATTACCTCTGATGTTTACATGTATCTGATAGCTGTGTGCTGGGAACGGCTCATCCCAGGAATGGCGAACTTGCATCACTGTTGCAAAGGTGCTTCTCTCGGACAACCAGAGGTTACAAGATTGTATTGCTGGTCTCTACTTGCCCTAGAGCAATTCCTAAGGCAAGGAATTTTGCAACTAGAGAAATTCCTGGGGCAGGCTCTGCAGTACAACTCAGTCCAATCGATTCTATTATACCACAATTTACGCCTATGCAATAGCACAATTTACAACAGTCGGCTGTTCACTGCTGGCAGCAAGGACAGCTTAACGCTGGTATAGAGCAGGATGACCACTGCTTCAGACAGCAACAGACTGGCTCCCAACAATTCCCAGAGCTTGGCACTACACTGTAGCTGTCTTCATTACCACTCAGCTAGGAGCTTAAATCTTCCCTTTTTTCCTGCATTTAGAGAGGCTTCCTAATTTTTGGGAGCATATCTTAGTGATTTGAGAAAGGAGCTGTATTTGCTTTTACTAATAAGCACAAATTCTTCACAGTACTGTTGCTCTTACTTCTCTGGTATAATACTGCTCAAGAACATGTTTCTTGAGCTGGGGACATTCATTATGTGAATGTTTTCTTGGAAAGGAATGTCTAAATTCTGGCTATAAACATGCACATGTTTACAGGGACTTGGATCTACTTCTGGTGGTTTGCAGAGAATGTGGTATTGGTCAGAAACATAAAAGGAGTAAAAATGATCCCTTTCCTATAAGGGAATGGACACTTTTTAAAGCAGGATTCACAGGTAAAACCCTGCAGTAGGATTACATTTACAATAAGTTAATTCTAAGTTACCCAAGGAGACCTTACTTTCAAAATCAATACTGAGGTGGCTGGTTTAATTAAGATAAAATACCCAAATTCTGTAACTAAAAAGGCATCACAAACTGCTAGATGAGGATTGCCTTAATCCTTGACCACCTTTCGCCTCCATACTTGCGTGTTTAAAGAGTTTTCTTCTTGTTGCCCTTTGCAGTGGGTGACCTCCCAGATGCTACATGTGCCATTTGCCTTTCACCCTCTTTCTCAACCAGTTACTAGACTTTCTCTGACCGTTTCCAGCAGATTTTTCAGCACTCTGTAAGCAACCAACTGACTTAACGTACTGGAACTGTTCTACGCGAGTACTCACCAAACTTAGGCATAAGGCAGTGATGCAGAAACTACTGTTCCTAGGAGACACTACACAAACTTTGCTGAAGTAACATTAATCATGTTGTCTCTTACCACGGAGGACCACAGCACACACCCAGTATTCTGAAGGGTTCAGAGGGATTTGAAACAGGTTTTGGTGGTTTGTTTTTCTGATGTGTGGTGGTGGTTTCTTTCCCCAGAGAAATCAGAGCTGACCTAATTCTGCAGAGCCCTAGATAGCAGGTAGCACAGTTACATCACATTGAAAACACTCAATCATATGTCCTGGCAATAGGAAGTCTTCCAAAGTTCAAATAATGGTATTTCCTTAGCGTATGAAAGCCACCTACTATTTGCTTTGCTGGTTCTGTGGCAGTGTTTGCCTACAACCCGCTGCACAGCCCTGTGTTGTTAAGCTGCTGTGTTCATAGGCGTAGCTGCAGCTGATACCCACACCCAGTGAGACTGGGAAGAGGGAAAAGGCATTTTTCACCAAACAAAGTAACAAGTAAGTTACCTGAGCCTCACGGGCAACACGAGACACAGCCAAGATCCAATGTCCTTAACAGCCAGGCCTGTGAATTAAAACAAACCCTGTCCTGAAACTAGAAATCTCAGGTCCCAAAGGTTCTTACCAGCTTAAATCCAGTTCATGTATGACGGTGTGCATGTGGTAAATATGTAATTCAGGTATTTAATATAGTATTACTTTCTTAAACACAAGCCTCTTGATTAGAATTCTAATTGAAAGGAGGAACTTTACAGTTGAAGTTATTGCCACAAAAATAAGTTTTTATTGTTTCTATTGTTTACTAAGTTGAATTATTTAAAGTATAGGAGTTAACACAGCACGACTGACTAGAACAATCACAGAAAACTGTGCGATCTACGACAATAACTCAGGCTGCTCCAAAAAAACATTTTAAAGGCGGGGGAAAGGAAAATTAATCCCTTGTCTCTGAACTACCACCAAATTAGACCCAAATTCCTACCGGATCTCTCTGAACCCGGCTGGGAGTTCTCCAATTCCCTATTTCAACCACTATTTGTGGGCAGGCAGGCGCTGCCCCCAGCCAACCGCACACATTTGGAAGGCTCATTTTAGCGCCCAGTTTCTGCTCACATCTCTGGTAACGACCCCGGCCGGCCGCGCAGCTGGGCTCACCACAGCCTGAGGGGGCGCGAACGCACACACCGCGGCTGGGCGGTGATACGGCCGGAGGGCGCTCTCGCCGCTCGCTATAGGTTAACAGAGAGAAAACGCGGCTTCCATCCCGAGTTCTGATTGGCTGGGGATGGAGACGAGACGATTCCCCGTGTCCGCGAGGCTCGGCGGAGGGATTGACTCAAAGGAAGGACTGGGGATGGTCATTGCGGGAGGTCATTCCAGAACTGTGATTGGTTCAGAGCTGTGTCAGCCTGTGATTGGCACTGCGGGAGGCGGGAATACGCGGATTCTTCGCCTGACGATTGGTGGGCTGGAGGGAGGAGGGAGAGACGGCGCGCTGCTATTGGCGGAGCTGACATTCCGCCCCTTGCGGAGGCGGGCCCGGAGCCCCGTGAGCCTGTCAGTGTGGGAGCGGCGCTGAGGGGAGCTCGTCGGTGCGGTCGTTCCTCCCGGCGCGGCCTTTCTCTTTTGTCCCTCCCCCTTTCTCCCCTTCTCCTTCCCTCCCTCGCCCTTCCCGCTTCCTTCCTGGCGGCGGGAGGGGGGTCTCCCAGCCTCGGTGGAGGCAGCGAAGCGTGATGGAGAGGTCCGGCCTCTTCGCTCTCCTCCGCCCCGAGCTGCGCTGTTTCACCGGCTCCGCCGCCCTCCTCAGCTGCTGACAACGCCGGCGGCCCCCACTGCCCGCGTCCTGCGGACACCCCCGCCTGTCCCCAGGTGAGGCGCTGAGAGAGCTCGGCCCGCAGGGAAACGGCTTGGTGCCGGGGAGGGGGATGGATGCTGTAATGCGGTGGGGGAGGCGGGTTTAGGCAGTTGTTCGATGAGGGGAATAGGGGGACCGACCCGCCATGGGTGGGATGGGGCCTGAGAGGTGGAGGGGCGGGATGGGGTGTACTGGCAGGACAGGCTGCCCCGGAGCTGTCAGGGCAGCGGCACAAGGGCGTGGGGCCTCACTCGGCCTTTCTTCCCCTACGTTTGAGTGATGCGTGTATTTGTCCCCTGGGATGCTGCCTTCCCCTTTCCCCCAGGCGCCCCAAGCCATGGCGGTCCGACCGCTTCGCGTCCTTTTCCTTGTGTGATTCCCGTCCGCTGTGTGGGTCGCGAATACCGCCGCGTTTCGTCGTCCTTTTTTCTCCTTTGTAGCTCGGATGTGGTGGCGGCGATGATTGCTGGTTCGGGAGGGAGGCGTAGTCCCTCAGCCAGCTGAACGATGCCAGAATGTAAAAGGATTGTGGTTTTCAGGGTGTGTTTTGTGGACCTGTAGGTAGTGGATCTGTCCCTGGATTCCGAACAGCACAATTCCTGAGGCAGCCATATTGGGATGATGATCTGACAATCCTCTGTGAGCCAAGTCAGGAGGCAGGCGTCAGGAGACGGGCTGACAGGCCTGCTACTTTTGGGGTCATTGGCAGAATATGGGTATGAAATGGAGGTTGGAGAACTAGAATTCACCAGAAGAGGACAGTGAATTTGTATCTGTCCTTTGAAACGTAGACTATGATCATAGCGAATTTTAAAGTATATTTCTCTTCACTTCCAGCTCCTTTTTAGCTCAGTTCTTTTTGCTATTGCACAATCCAGTACATTGGTGTGTTGATAAATAGCTATATGTTGATACGAGTGGATTTTCAGTGCGGTGCCAAGTTCTGCACCACTGTTTTATCTGGCATCTTCCCTCAGTACAAAGATAGCAATCCGCAGTGTATGAGTTCAGCTGATATATCACACTGTCATCACTACCTGATCCTTAGTGGAGGCCCTAAAATAGGATTCACTCCGGACCTCTTGTTCATAAACCACTGCTGCTCTGAACAGCTGTTTTGCTAACTTTCCATATGCTCATCTCTTTCCTAGTTAATTTTCTTTCTTTAGAGCTCTTGTACTGATTAAGTTACAAGCAATTTTTTTGTCTAAAAGTGAGCACATTCCCTGGCACACATACCTGTGCTAATATCCACAATGGCTGGCTGCGTTAAATAAAAGTGGTGTTTCTTCATTTGTGGTGTCTGGTGGGATTTGATTGGTTTTTTATTTGAATGTAGAGATGCAGATTCTGAATTTTTTTTTTTTTGTAACCACTTTGAACTTGTTGCAAACTTCTCTGAGTATAGAAATAATAATTTGACTAAATCCCTATCCTTCTTACAACTTTGTTTCAAAAATTATGTCCTGTATTTTGACACTGGATAAAAACTGGTTTGTCAGAACTTGCAAATACATCCAAGGGTCCATGTCTTAATGAACAGCTTGCGTCTTTAAACATCTGTGGAAGTCCAGATCTAGTTACAAGTGCTTTGAGACCATGAACAGTGGTTGACCAACGTCATTGGGTTTGTCAGCTTGAATGACAGAAAGCAAACAAGTTATTTGGGTGATTTGTTTAATGACACACTTTAATATTAAAACCTCACTGTCTGACTTACAGGGTGGATAGTGGGTATCTTTTAATAATAGTTAAATATAAGTGTAAAATTAATATGTAGGGTTTGCTTTGTGCTGATAGAGCTCACTAAACAACTCATGTTATCTACCACCTGTTCTAGAACCAGTGGTAAATCATGTCAAAGACACAAGCATGTAGTTCTTTTTTTACTTGGTTCCTGATTGAATTCGTGTAGACTGAACATTTAAAGATGCACAGCTAGTAGACTTTCAAAGACATTAGGAGAATCCTCCATTTGAGCATGGGAAAGCCCTCCTACGAATATTATTCTTCTAAATCTGTACCACAGGCTGCATTGCATATCTTGTTTTACTCCGTTGTAAGTTTCTTATTACCACTCTGTATATGGTGTTTTGTAGTAATAAGTGATATTACTGGAAAATGTGAACCCTGAAAAAACAGTTCCAATTTATTATCCATAGTGCCATGCAACTTGGTCTCATTTTGTCTTATTTTACCATTCAGTATGATGAGGTCAATACTTTTTTTATAAAATGTTAAAACCAGGTAAAATCGCTGGTAAGTGGAAAAAACCCCACAAAACTCCAACAACTTAAATATATAGGAAGCTTGGAAACCTGTACCAGTTTTGGTTAATTTTATTAATAAAAATTAAATCTTGTGTAGTGAGATGTGCACTTACAAGTAGACATTTTGCTTATTCAGCTATGAAAAATAGCAGAGTTGAGAATGAATAAGTTATAAAATGACGCCACATTTAACTTTCTACGAGCACAAAAGTTAGGGTTGGGGAAAGTTGGTAATTGCAGAAGTCTAGCAGTTAAACTTATGCTGTTGTAGGTGATTTTGTGACCTGTTCTGTAAGAATTTCTTCACAGCTGTGCTTCAAGCAAGGCTGTCATTTAGCTAGTGCATATGAAGTCTCTTTTGGTGGGCTTTTCATGCTTTCTTCTTGTGAATATGGTGTCTTGAGGTACTCAATGATTTTTTTTTTTAAACAGAAGATTCTTTCACTCCGTCTTCTGTTTGCTGGTTTCCTGCATATACTGGTTATCTGAGAAATTAATGTCATATCCTGAGAACTATTTCTATGAAGACATCAGAAAAAATACCTTTGCATGTGGAACTCTTCATTAAGAAGGCAAAATAAGTTCCCTGTGTTTCCTAAAGAACAACATGAGAACATATTGGTTGTATTTTTGTTTTCTTGGGGAAGAAAGATCCCCTTCATCAACGGCCTTCTCTTTATTCATTGGTCCTTGTGGGAAGTTGACCCAATTATGGTTTCACATTAATATGGGTAGATGGGAAAGAGAAAGATGAGAACCACTAAGCCACTGTCAGGTGGAGTTTCTGTCATGTGCTACACCCTATGAAAATTCCACCTACTCGTAGTCTTGCACAATCTGACAAAGTAAACAGTGTCACTATGAACTTGATAATAACAGAGTTTGCACTTGATAGATTTCTTAAGTTGTATTTCAGAAGCAGAAAGCTTAGTGGCCCTGTACAGTAACATTCCTGTTTTCTTGCAGCAGCGTTCAGGGTCAGTTGAATAATACTGCTGGGATGTATCAGGATTAGTCTTGTCGCTTAGCTTTCAAGTGAGGGCAGAGGTACTTATGCAAGGGTTGCATTAAGAAGGGAGAGCAGGAATTCCATGCAGTAGATACTCGGGAACAAGGCTTAGAATGAAGCTATATGTACGATACACTTTGGTATGCAAAAAAGTAGGCATCTCCAAGCAAGAGTGAGTAAAGCAGCCCACGAACAGCCCAGAATCTGTTAAGCTTTGAACATCATGTGCATTCATTCCCATTACTTCTTTGCTCTATTCCATGTTTAAGTTTTTAGTGAAACTGCGTAAAATTCTGTACTTGCCTAAAGCTGATTTTGTGGCTGTCTCATGAATCATTATTCTACCACTTTGCAGTACCACAGACATTGAAATTCAGTTGGCTTGTTCCTAAAGACATTCCTATTCTAGTCTGGTGAGATACCTCAGGTACCTGCTAAAATAAGGAACACATTAAATTACTTCTCCTTGGTGGAGTAATTTAATTTCTGCCTTCACCATGTGATGACATTAATGAAGTAATGCAGTTTTATGAAAAACTTTGTGTTCTGTGTGAAGATGTGTCATAAC